CCGAACCCGGATCACGGACACCATCCTCGTCTCCTCCGACTCGAACTAGGGCACCGCTGCTCCCGTCTCCAGTCGCTCGTCTCCTCCGGCACTAGTTGTCCCCGCTTCCAGGGCCGGTCCTGCCTCGTGGGTGGTGGCCTCGTGGGTGCGTTCTTGGAGTTGAATCCTTGGTTCCTGGTTTCCGCTTATACACTGAATCTCTGAACTTGTTGTCTATGTTATATAGTGCATGCTTGCTTGCACAGCTTTGTACTATCAAATAGAGTGCGTGCTTGCTTGCTGTCCATTCAACATGTGAATCGGGCTAGTTTGACATGTTACCTTTATATATTCGATCATGTAGTTGTTGTCTTGTATAACATTGGTTCATGTCTTGGCAGTCTTGTGGGAAGTGGGATTGGGGGGTTTATTCTGATTGGGTGACTAGGATCAATGTGCTAATGCTAATCTGAGGCCAGATCCACTATCGTGGCTGCACACCTGATAATCTCTCGTGGTTGCCGGAAGAAAGAAATGTGATATGGCCACATTATATATCTGAGATGGATTCGAGTGATTTAAACTGCAACATTTAAAGATACATAATACTATTTCATTATTGGGGGTGCTAATCTGCTTGTGACTAAACCAGTTCTGCTGAAACTGTTATAGTCAGAGAAACAATTTACTGAAATTGTTGTGGTCTAAAAAATAGTTAACAGTTTCTCTGTTTGGTACTATTAAACTGAGAGTCAGAGAAATTGTTAAAGTGTTGGTTTCATACTACTCACAATCAAGAGATCAATTTCAGTACTTCTGTTTGGTACTATTTGCCACTAGTAAGAACAATTGTTTGTGAAGCTAGTAAAAATTATGGAACTTAAAAGGTCAAATAAGTTGATTTATCTCTTTTCAGCCTTAACAGAGAAGATGGAGTTATCAGGCGGTTGAAGTGTGCGTGTTGCTGCGGCTATTAGGATGTCGTTGGGTTGTTATCACTAGTACTAGTCCTATCAAATTGCCTGTGAGTAGTTCATTACCAAGCTATCCAGGGGATATTCATTTATGTGCCTGTGAATTCGTTCTTGGTGTGTATGTATGTATATGTGCTAGCAACATGAGTAGGAATTAGCATCATGCTCGGCTTGGATGAATTGCATGCATACATTGATCCAGGGGAAAGTGTATGACCGATACAATCCTCTTTTTCACAAAGCTATTATACACTTTGGGAAATACAGCAATTTGTTCTTTACTAAATGCACTGCAAGTATGGAATGTGATGCATGCATGCATTTAGGGTGAGTCGTACCTAGTTGTTCTTTATGCATCTCCAGTCGTACCTAGTATTGTTTAATTGGAATCAGTACAATTTCTATGTACATTGGGATTGCTCTGTTTGCTTCATATTATGGTGTAAATGTCTTGCTAGCTTATTGTGGCAGCCGGCTGGATTATGGCTCATAGTGTCACTCGGATCACGCATGAGTGGCTGTACGACTTGGGGACTTGCATGGCTAGAATCGCATGGTCTGTTTGGTGTTGTGTTTGGTGTTGTTTTCGGTGATGATTTGGGAAAACGCAGCAGGTTGATTGATTGTGGGAAAACGCTTGCCTCTGCTTAACATATCTAAAATCTAGTGAAATTCCTCAACAACATAGTTGTTTTTCTACAACAACAATGCATTCAAAAACCTGACCTATCTATATACGCACTTTTTGGAAGAAATAGGATATATATATGTGCTTCTGTTGCTTCTATATTATATATATATATATATATATATATATATATATATATATATATATATATATATATACATGTACGTTTAGTTATTCGACATTCTTCAACATTTTTCTGTTCGATTTGGTGCAGGAGGACGCCTGAGCTGAGAAGGAGGACACCGTCGTCCACCCCGGCCACCACACAAGGTCGTCCTTCTATTTCTTTTGTTGTTTGTTCATGTGCTACTTTTGTTTCAGTTCCATTGGCTCCTATTGCAAACAGGTCTATACATTAGACTAGCCCAAGTGTTGTGAGTGCTGGGTGTCCTAGATACAGAAATATACCAAGTGCAAGTGGGTGCTTGTGTTGTGCATAGTAGCAGATCTTCTTATGTGAGCTATACAATGGCCTATTTCTTCCTAATGATATGAACACTATCTCATCTTGTCATTTTTCCCTCTCTTCTGCAGGGATGGCGCCACTGTGCCCGGCGCTTGCCCTGGTCACCGCGGTGGTGCTTCAGCGGCTTCCAGACCCTCTCCTGGATGTGGTGATGGTCACAGCACAGCCGTGGTGTGGCTGAGCCTCTACTACGGCTACAACCTCCCTCTGGTGAGCTCCTCCCCGTAACTTCTTCTCTGATGTAGCTCCTGCATGGCCTTCTCCATGATTTGGGTTGGATGTGCGGCTCTACTAGTTGCTGCTAGATACTGTAACGAAGCATCAACTCCTACTGGAGCTCTCTGGTGATAAATTCATGCGGTTCTAGGGGTCTGTTAGTAGCTTCCCACGTGTACTTGCTTTATATATGTGCTCCTGTGATGCTCTGGTGATATGGGGTGGCTAATATCGAGATCATGGTGGTGTTGATGCTTATCTTGCGTGTCTCTGGTGGTGGTGGTGTTGACAGCAGTTACACACCTAGCTTGTAACTAATATCATTACTGCTAATTTACCTCAAGTTTATCTGAACATGGTTGAAATGAGCTCTGCTAATTTTGATGTCTAAAATCAATTTTTGCCCCAAGTCCTTAAGTAATTATTTTCATTACATCACAGTTAGCTGAGAATATTGACTAGAATATTATATGTATGCCCTAATGCATGTACACATACGGTTGAGCAAATACCGAGCTGCAGTGGAACAACCTGGAGTTAGAGAACTTCAAGTACAAGATCAACAAGGTGACCGGCGTTATGGCGGCTGTGTACGGCGGCGACCAGAAGTTCTTCGGTGAGTTGGCAGTATCCATATTGTGTGATATACGATGTTGCTCCGTTGTGCATCTCTCTTTTCTTGTGTGCTGCATCATTGTTGCTTGATAGAGTAAATGATTTTAGTTCTGGTTGTGTCAAATCTTTACTATGTACCATGCTTAGTGTTTACTAAACTGAGGCATTGAGCATTGGAATTTAGGCATTTATGTATAATTTTAGTTTTGGATGTGTCCAATGCAAACATTGTTGTCAACTGTCAAGTTGATTCTAAAATGTCTCATTAACTTCATTATTCTGTTATTTATTGTTAAATATGCTGTTAGATTTACTTCTATTTTGTTCCTAAACATTTTGTTCTGTAACATGCAGATGCTGGGCTTTCATGTTTCTTCATGAGCATCAGGACAAAGAAGTTGGAGGAAGCATAGTTCTAACATTGCTGTCAACTGTCAAGGTTTGCATTAATGAAGCCCTTTATACTGCTCCTATTTGTATGTGTGTATGATGTAGCAAAACCTGGCTCATGTGATTGTACACTTGTGGAGCTTGTTATATGATTATAAACTTGATGCTGATCACATTGTATGTGTGTTATATGATGTAGCACTTTGATGGTTGATAATATTTGAAGTATTTCGTGTGTTTTCTGTGTGCCAATTTAAATACCAGGTATTTATTTGCGTGAAATAAAAAAAATGAAGAATATTGCCCTGATGGCTAGGACCCAGTACTAGAACCTGACAATGGGGACCCACCTGACTAGTGAACCCAATTTAGAAAAAAGAAAAAAATGAAATTGTTGAGACAAAAAGGTCATGGCCCAAAAATAAAAAAACCTGCAATTGGGCTTGGTCCATTTAGCTGACAAAAAATTCATAGGAAAGAATATATAAATGGGCTGAATTAATGGGTTCGGCCCATGTAAAACACCGAATTGGACCGGGCTGATTCTTGTGTCACATCAGATTGCCACGTCGGATGCCTACGTGGCCCGGGGAGTCTGCTAGTGACCAAAACAAAACAGTAGGCATATTTTGGTCGTAAACGTCTACGACCTTCTTACAGAGAAGGTCGTTAATTTCAGTTTACGACCGTCAGCTTTTGACCATCTGTTTTTGGTCATAAAAAGGTCACAAATGGGAAATAATGACCATTCGGTGACCAATAGTCAAGGTCACAAGTTGACATATTTCTTGTAGTGTTTTTTTTTGCAACAGAGCCGATGTTACAACAAATTGTCTAAGTTGCACTCGTCGTTCGCCGTTATGGTTCGGAACACCACCGTTGTTGCAGGATAAGGTAGAGGACACGTGGTAGACAAGAGAAATAACGAAGTGTGTGTGCGAGCGTGCGTGACGACCCATGGATCAAGGTGATCCAATGACTGTTATGCATATGCCGGCGGATCTTTTAAAAAGGTCCGTCGTCTCGCGAGCCATCGGATCAGGTGGATTGAGTGACTGAGAGTCACTTTTTATCACTGCAATACAGGTCGTGCTGCAGGAAATTCTTGCATCTCGGGTCATGTTACAAAATTTTATGCAACATATGTCAAGTTGCAGATTTTTTTTACAGCACATGCCTTTTTACAAGTTTTTTTGGTAACAAAGCTCTTGTTGCAATTTATTTTTTTATTATAATATTTTTCTGCAACACAAATCTTGTTACATTTTCTTGCAATATATAGCTTGCTGCAGAAACTATTGTAGAGGACAGTGAACAGCGCTTAGCGGTCACGTTGACCGAAAGAAAGAAAAAGATAAAACCGTCCAGGCAAGACACGCATCACACGAACGAGCCGGAGGATCGCACGTGAGCGTCCGCCGGTTGAAGCCAAGCATTTTCCTCTCTTTTTTTTTTTTTGAGGGGTGAAAGAAGCCACATGTGGTCGGTACAAACTCTACAATGTATGCCCGCAAAAGCAAAAAAACAAATAAAAAACTACTGTACAAAAGAAGTCACATGTTGTATCATACCAGGCGATCGTTGTCCAAAAGGAATTTTTCCTTTTCCGTCTAGAGTCCGGCTCAATATAAGCCGCCGTACGTGTCTACACGGTTCACGTCAGCGACATCCGATGGATCACACGGAGGCGTTGCCCGACGACGCGCTCGCGGCGATCCTCAGCCGCCTCCAGCCGCATGACCTCGCCGCGTCCCGGTGCGTGCGCAGGGCATGGCGCGCCGTCGTGGACGCCCGGGGGCTGCTGCTCCCGCACCTCCTCCGGCACTTCGTGGAGGGCATCTTCGCCAACTACACCGACCACCACCGCCCACAATTCCTTGCCGGCCCCTCCACGCAGCACCCCCGTGTCGACTACGGCAACCTCCACTTCCTGCCCGACTACACAGAAGGCCATAGAAAGATCGTGGACCACTGCAATGGTCTCCTGCTCTACGGCGACACGTCGGAGTTTTTTGTGGCCAACCCCGCCACGCGGCGGTGGCAGCGCCTGCCTGAAACGCACAATGATGGGGAATGCCGTGAAGCATATCTCGCGTTTGACCCTGCCGCGTCGCCGCACTACGATGTGTTCTTGATCCCTCCTAAGGATCTAGGGCTGTTCGATGTGTCGGACTGCAAGTTGGCAGAGGTTCAGCCAGAACAGCTCGCCGAAGAAAACTTCACGATAAGTTCAGGCTACACGTCGGAACTTCACGATAAGTGGAGCACCGAGGTTTCGCAACACTCGACGGAATGGCCACCGGCCGTGTTAACGCTGGACGTTTTCTCATCAAGGGCAGGAGAATGGCAGGAGAGGTCGTTTGTCAGGGAAGGCAGTGCTACGAGGAGAGTCGTCAACGTGCGGGGTTCACTGCCGTTCACGAGCATTGGGGTGACAAGATGGCGCTACGGCGCCTACTGGCGAGGAGCATTACATGTGCTGCTTTATGGCGGTGCATTTGTCACAAGGTACATCATTAATCTAAAATGTTAAATTCCCTTGTATTCGTATTGTTTATTTGACATCACCATTGTATCAGTACCAAAATTTATATTGACCTCTTTATGGGCACCTTTGAAGGTTATCATCATCTACTGGCAAATATCAAGTAATAAAAACACCAATAGATGCTAACGAACTCAAAGTTGGACAGCACTATCTTGGGAGCTCCATGGAGGCTGTCTACTTCGCCAATCTTTGCGATCAAATTCGGATTTGGCACCTGAGTGAATCAAATGGTGAGGTAGAATGGGTATTGAAGAATAGCATTGGCCTTGTTGAACCATCGGCAAATATATATTCACTCAACCCTTATCAAATCTGCGGACCTTGGATATTTGATGACGATCATGTTCTCGACAAATATGGCAATAACAAAAGGCTGGAGAATGTGGTTTCTGATTGGGACTGGGATGATGATAATATTCTCGATGAGTGTGGACGCCATCCTGGATACTGTCCTTTACTTGGATATCCATTACTTGGGTTTCACCCCTACAAAGATATTGCCTTCTTCCATGTGGGGTTAAAAGCATTGGCTTATCATTTTGATAGCTCAAAAGGTCAGTACATTGGCTATATGCGTCCAAGAATTGATATCTCATGGTCGGTTGATGAGGCCTTTATATACACCCCTTGTATGATCGGAGATCTTCCAGAGAAGACTAAAAGTTAGATGCCAACGCAGCTGAAGATTGTAAACTTATTTTATGACTCGCATAAAAAACTTGTTTTAAGACTACTGTATGTTTGTTCTAAGTTTTTACGTCCGATAGTTTGTGTTCTGCATCCTTGTTTTTCCTTTTCTTTTTTGCTTGGCCCCATGGCTCACCCTAATGCCTCTCGGTTGTGCAGGTCCTTGGTATGTTCTTTTCTTTTTGCAAATATACGAAGGTGGAGCATACAGGTAAACACACCACGACACGCGTGAGGCATGCTAAGATTGAACCACTTCGTGCGACTAAAAGTGAGTACAATGATTTGAACTATGGTGGGCGGAGTCAGTACCACGGTATCCATTAGATTTATTTGTCTCTGATGTCATCAAGTTACACATTTTGCTTTTTTTGAGATAATAATGTGACTAGTACGCTTTGACTAGTGGTGTATTCAACTCATCATATTATTTCTCCCTTTCCTGCATTTTATTTTCTTTTTTTAATTTGAGAAGGGTAAAATTGTCCGATAATCGACTCGAGTGCACTGCGGATCGATTCCACAAGCCGTGAAACTTGAAAAACTCTGAAACTATACATGCATGTGGTAGCTAGCAATTGTGCACACATGACCAAGGTGGAAACTACTTTCCAAAACAAGGGGTCTCAGTATCATGAGTTGGAAGATATTTTTTGTTCAGTTGAGTTGGGAAGTTGGAGTAACAGCTGAATTGCTGAATAATGGTTCATAGTGGAACTAGTAGAAAACGATGCTTAGATAACTACACGTTGAGGGCTCTTGCAGCTGCAGTCACCATCGTTACTACTCAAAATATTCCGAAGTTTTGAGAAACAAATGAAGGAATTGGTCAAGTAGTGTCTCAGTTTTTTTTTTTGAGAACTAGTAGTGTCTTAGAAGTTTAGAACCCTCAACTTACTGCAATATCTGCGGAAATTCGTAGGGGCATGTAAGTGCAGGTGCACTCACCTGCCAAGCCCCGCCATCCGCTTGATTTGCGTTGCGATTCGTAAAATAGATGAATCCCACACGAGCGCACAGTAAAAAGGAAAATCTCTCGAAAAGCCTTAAGTTTCAACATGAAACTTACTGTTTTTGCATCAAAAAATGCCCTGTTTCAACAAGTTTCAGAGATACAATTTTAAGCAATTTTTTCTATCGATCGTACACACAAAAAAATTGATTTTTATTGTTCGCTCGTACTAATTTGAAACACTAAAACTTAACATTTTTTTCCAAAAGTCGTCAAAATATATTCAAAATGGATCTTATTTGAAAGCACTGTTCGCGAGAAAATGAATATGAAAATAGAATTAATTTAAAATTTTCGTTTAAAAGATATAAAACTTTAAAAATCAAAAGCCAAAATAAAAAGCTGGCACCAGGACCTGAGTGGCCCCGCACTTGCATGCCGTAAATCCTCTTCCGCAATGTCTGCATGTGAATAACAATGTTCTTACCCAGAACAAGGCCCATTTTACTTACCAACTCAAACTTGGGCCAGGGCAGCCATAGAGAAATTTGGCACAGAAAACGATGTCCAAAGCCTGGGCGTACTTTGGATATTTTTCTAAATTTTCAGTGTCAAATCATCCACCACATTATAGGCCATGACGAACCATCTACAAGACAAACATCAATTGTATTTCGATGCAACTTATCATTGATTAATAAAGTGAGCGTGTTTAGGTTAAAAAAATCTCTAGGGCAGCATCAAGGGTCAAATAGGTAAAATTTGCAGCAAAAGACCAAACAAATAGGGCCTTATTGACTTTGATCCGAATTTTGGACTATCTTATCTACAGAAGAAGAAAGAGCGATGTTTCTTCCCATGCCTACCTCCATACTCTCCATTCCCTCTTCTAGATTTCTTTTCCCTGGATTTATTTTCTCCTCCCTGCTTATCCCCTTCTATCATCGTTACAGTTGCTACCCTTTCTGGCAATGACAAAATAATTTGATACCCACTTTTTGTGTCCGCCGTAGTCTCTAACGTGCTCTAAATTTTATAACACTGGTGCTCATGCCTACTTGAAAAAGGGAGAGTGGCTAATGTTTTCTTGACATGCCTTTTGACACCCAAAATGGTAAAATTCATCCTCCTTATTTGTCACGTCATTATTTTTTTCATCCTCCCTAATTATCCCCTTTTGTTCCTAGGCAAGTCAACCATGTGCCGCTAGCACCGTCCTCGTTGTAGTCGTCACTGCTACTGCTTTAACCATTTGATGCGCTCAGTTAGCGATGTGTCTTGAGAAAAGGTTGAAAAGTAATTCCAAAGTTTGCACAATCTTAGTTTGGAAGATTTAGAAATTTAAGTCTAAACACTACAAAAAAAGACACATCCGTGACATTTTGGACAGAACGAAATTTTTTTCTGTCATACAAATGACACTTCTATGACGATAATTATGACAAAACCCGGTATCATCATAGATGTGGTGGGCTCCTACTTCTATGACAAAAAATCATGACAGAAAATGGGCTTTTCGTCCTGTGCGGGCCGGAGACGCAACTGCATGATATTCTTTGGGCCGTCTATGACGGGAAAAACCGTGGTAGAAGCGAGGGCGAGGAAAATTTCGGGGAGTTCCCGGTTACGGTGGGAGGTCGGGGGCCGAGCGATGCGCGTTTCTCTCGTACACGTACGCACGTGTGTGCGAGGCGTTGGCTCTAACTGAACCCAAGCGAGGCGTTGGCTTCTAACTGAACCCGAGCGATTGCACTGCAGGCTACGCGTTATTGAACCCGAGCGATCGATCGATGACTGTTAACTGAACCCGATCGAGCGATTCCTTCACTACTGCTGCTAACTGAAGCCGATCGATTGGATGAACAATGACCGTTGCGGGGGGGGTGGACGAAAAGTGAGCGGTGGCGTTGCCTTTGGATGAACGGGACCCCATGGTGTGGTGGAGGGCTGGATGAGTAGTAGACGGTGGAGGGGTGCCCGTGGAGGGGTGGTTGAACAGTTCCCCGTGGTGTGGAGGGCTGGATGAACAGTAGACGGTGGAGGGGTGGTTGAAAAGTAGCCGGTGGAGTAGCGCGCGGTGGAGGCTGGACGAACAGGAGCCCGTGGAGGCTGGAGGAGGTCGCCGGTAGCCCGTGGAGGCTGGAGGAGGTCGACGGTGGAGATGAACAGTATCCCGTGGAGTCCCATTTTGCGATATGCCACACCCCTTCCGATGAACAGGACCCTCGTTTCGACCGTAGCGCTCCAACACAAGTCCGTTTCATCCGTTTTGCGGTACGCCACACCCCTCCCGATCAACAGGACCCCCGTTTCGACCGTAGGAGGTCATTTCGTCCGTTTTGCGGTACGCCACATCCCTCCCGATCAACAGGACCCCCGTTTCGACCTCAGGAGGTCCATTTCCTCCTTTTTGCGGTACGCCACACCCCTCCCGATCAACAGGACCCCGTTCGGAACGTAGGAAGTCTGTTTCCTCCATTTTGCGGTATGCCAGGCCTCGTTTCCATCGCCTGTTCCGTCCAAGCCCTCCCGATGAACACGACCATGCATTCTGTTCCGACCCAGCCGGTTGGCTCCCCATGAACACGACGTCTCTGTTCCGACCTAGCCATGTACGTATGCGTGAGTAGACGTTCGAGACCCCGCCCGTATGTATACATACGTGGCCGTATTTTCTTTCTTGCACCCTGGCCGCTATACGTACATGTACATGCTACGTGCGCGCCTCTACTACGACACGTACGCGCCTCTACTACGACACATGCGCGCCTCTACATCGACCGGTATATATGTATGTACACGTTCGCGACCAGAATGATAACGCTACATACGCTTCGACCAGGTGGGTCCCTACTGTCAGGCACTTCCTTGCCTAGAAGATGTAGCTGGTGGGTCCCAGCAGTCAGGGGGACGAATCGTTTTTTTTTTTGCCCGGACGCACTTCCTTGCATGCGAAGATGTAGCTGGTGGGTCCCAGCAGTTAGGGGGCGAATCTTTTTTTTGCCCAGACGCACTTCCTTGCGTGCGAAGGTGTAGCTGGTGGGTCCCAGCAGTCAGGGGGCGAATCATTTTATTTTGCCCAGACGCACTTCCTTGCGTGCGAAGATGTGGCTGGTGGATCCCAGCAGTCAGGGGGAAACATTTTTTCGCGAAATATAGTGGCCCGTCCGGTGGGTCCCAGCTGTCAGGTGGAGGAATCATTATTTTCCATGTAATAAGGAGGCACTTCCTTGCTGCGGCCGTCGACCCAGCTGTCAGCCTCTCCACGTACAGTCCACGTCCGATGGAAGTCGTTCCTTGACCATGTTGACCACGCCGCGCCGAGAGCACCAGGGCGGTGGACGAT